TCATTAAAGTATATATATTCAGAGCTGTGGCTTTACTGTTTGAATTTTGATGCATGTCTTCACTTGTCAAAAAAAAGTACATTATGCTAGTTACACTCCATCCCCCTTTTCTCCCAATATATTGAAGTTGTACTACAAATCTCTAGCTACAATAAGCAATTCTCCAAGGATGAAGAAAGAAAATGTACATACACACAGGAATTTCTTTTCCAGAACTAAAATTGACGTTTTATAAATAATTTCCGTGTTGCAAAGTTGAGACTAAGAAATCACAGCAATTCAGTGATATGCATTTGGCATGAGTCAGTTTTAGTTCTTAGTGCTTTTCATTGGAAATGGCATAAAATGTAAGATTTCTTTGAATTTTTTATGCTGTGGGCTTACAAGAGACATAAGATGTTTTTCTCTTATAGATGTCTGGCAGTGCATGGCAGCAGAAGTAACGAAATGGTCACAAACCCCAGCAGTACTTCCCAAGTCACATGCATCCTTAATTTTTAAAGAATCTAGAAACAACCTAAGCAGTTGATAACAGGTCATTTCTAGGTGATAAAGGATATTTGATATGGGGTGTTGCTTTTCTTTCCACACCTAGCATTTTTATAGTCATTTAGAGACCTACTTTACATGGTGGTGGGTTTATATGTGTTTAAATATGTAACCTAACTGATAATTGAATTGTAACTCTTTTATTCTTTTCTTGATGTTTGACATTGATTTTGAGGTCTGAATTTTTTTTTTCAAGCTTTTTTCCCCTGACTCATTTTATATATAAACACTTCCCATAGTCATTGACTTCAAAATAAGGGCAGTTGGGAATGCCAAATGCAGCTACTGTTGAAAAAACAAAAGAGAGAAGGAGAGAAATTGTGAATTATAGTATATACTGCCAGAAGTACTTATGTATTTTTCTTTCAGACACCTTTGTATTAAATAATTTTACAAGCTTTACTTAAAAAATAGTCTCCTTTGAATGTAAAAATTGGGAGAAATTTAGTCTAGTCTTTCAGTGACCTAATAGTTGATATGAAAACATGAATTTAAAAATAAATAGCATATTGGCTAAACTGTACTAATAAAGAAGCCAAAAAATTATGGATTAAATTGAATCTGGAAATAATTGCAGTTTTGTGTCCTAAACCAGATTCGTTTTTAAAATGAAATGATAGGTCCTTGACCCTTGGGTGTGCTTGGAATAAATATGGAACACGGTATTGTTTTTAAAACTATTTTGCTTTTATAAGCTAAGACAGATGTACAAAAAAGATGCAGTTTTTATTTTGTATTGGCAGCTTCCAAATATTTAGTATCTATTTCCAAGAGTTGCAATTAGTAAAGCTACCATGGTACTGAAATCTGCACATCCCACAAGCTAATTATATTTGCAAGGTCAGAATGAATACATATTTTCAGAAAAATAAAGGGTTATATAAATATGTGTCTTCTACTTGGCTGTTATATCACAGTTTGTTGATCTGGAGTATAATGTGTACAATTCACAAATTTGTCTGATAACAGAAAGTGGTGTGTGATTGTGTTTATTTTACTAACCAGTATATTCACAGCAATCACTTCCAAATATCTCTCCAGTAAAGATGTGTTAATTACAAAACAGACAAGGTCTTCTATTATATTAAAGCTACTAACAAGAAGACAGCAGGAATCACACATGTAAATAGCATCATCAACCCCTATTTTAGTCCTCTGTTTTGATCTGTGAGTTGCGCATAGACCAAAGGTGCTATTAAAGACTGAGTGTATGAAATAGGCAGCATTATATGAACAAAATTTATTCAACAAGAAAACAGACCTTTAACATGAATTTAACAAGCCTGAGAAATTATAAACTATCATATGCTGCAGATTCATGCAGTGATAATAAACAAAAAAGGAAAGTAAGAGGTTTCCCTAAGCTAGCCAAACTGCTAATGGTTTTGTTATAAGCTGTCTACTGTTGCAGTGACCTCTGAAAAGTCTCAAGGCACTTGTACCAGAAAAAATTAAGTGGTCAGGCTGGTGAACAGAGATTCAATGTGCGTAGGACTGTAGCATGGAAAGGAATTATGAAAGTCTAGCCTCATATTCCTGAAAATATATTTCATACTTTCGCTTGGAAGTTTTTGTTGGTACATATTAAAGAGAGAGTTTTGAGGCAAAGTTTTTTGGCTAAATTACTTTTTGGATTTATAAGCTTATAACATAGGCTGAACTGGTTTAATGTATATATACATTAAAAAATACCATTCAGAAAATTCATATAGCTCGAAAAAATGGATTTTGCCCCAGCCCCCCTCCCATACCTTAATTAATCCTAGGGGGTTCTTTGTTCAGTATATTGTGTCTAAGATTTCCATCCTCATCCATGGAGTGACCACTTTGCTGTCATTCTGTTGCATCATGCTGTAAATGCATAAACATGGAGAAACGCCTTCAGCTTATACACACCTCCAAGTGCTCACTAGGGCTTTTTCTTGAATCTTTGTGTGGCATAATTAACACCTTCTTCACCCATTGCTCATTAGTGCACTGGACATTAATGAGTCTATTTTGATAGTTGTTCTGAAGGAGAAACTTACTTATTCTCACAGTGCAAAAAGCAATTATAAAACTGTACAGAAATTAAAATGTAGACTATATTGCCGTATTTATATTTTTATTGCATACTAAATCTAATTTTAGTCTGCAGGTTGTTGAACATGTTAGTTTCCTTAAGACAGTTGCTATAGTGATGGCAGCAAATTCCTTTGATCTTGGTGTAGTTATTCATTTTCCATTGGCTATCATATTGTCAGTCAGAAATTGTCAGTCTAAGCATTTAATTTCACATAGGTTGGAACAGCATATTAAATTCTTGAATTTTTCTCTTAATTTTAAAAAGAATTAAAAAATTTCAATTTCAGATTGTTTTTAACTGGTCACAGTATCTATTTAACTGGTATTTTCCGTTCCTTTTTATGAAGTTTCATACCTGTTTATAATATTCCAGAGAAATATTAGAGACTTTTTCCTGTAAGATACCCGGTTTGTTGCTTTGGTTTGAAGGCATTTTATATAAAGATGCATCTTGTCATAAATAATGGAATTTTCATAGTTTTGTGAGTGTTCTTATTCTATAAATTGTACCGAAATCTTTAAATGGAGTCAAATTATTTTAAAAAACAATTGGACCAAAGTGATGCTTTGCTCTTAAACATTTACTGCTATTGGTTAGGGAGTCAGTTCTTAATTTTGTATTTATTTAAGTTGTACTTCTGTCTGTCAGAATAGTCTCTTTTCCCTTCTTTGGCCTACATTTTATCTTATTTTTATGTGCTTTTTAGTAGAAAATGTTAGAAAATTTTACTTTGATATGTTTTTAAACAACTGACTGATCATATCTGATTAAATCATGCTTGATAGTAGTACTTATTATTGCTTTATGAAAAATATGATTAAAAAAATTAAGTGTAAGCAGGAGGTATAAGCCTAGGCCATATTTATTTATACATAAGTGTGAAAATTAAGGCTGAATTACAGTTATTGTATAAAAAAAAAGTTTTCACAAACTTATAAATCATGCATGTTCTGGGGATACTTGCTTTTATTTTAAGGCAAGAAGAATCTTTGGGGAAATTCAAACTGTTAGAAATAAAAGCAAAAGGCAAGGTTGATTATTTATTTATTTATTTATTTATTTAGCTGCTGGAATAGACAGAGGCTTTAGATTGTGTCGCTTGTCAGAGTGCTTTGATCTAAGTTTGTGTACTTTTGTACCTTCATGGCAGCTTTTTAGAAAGAGTGACTCTTTCAGTCTTGTTCTTGGCATATAGCATTTCGTAATATACTTTCTTGATTTTTCAGACTTGTTTACATTCCAGTTGACTTATTTTGGAAATTTTTGTTTCTTTTTTTTTTTACTTAATATCCTCAAACAATAATTATACAAATGAGAAACAGTCTAGTTGACAACAGCTTTTGAAACATTGATAAATCTCAGTTGTTTAGCACCTTGAAAGGCAAACCTAGAAATACTATTGTATCCTGCTTTAGGATATTTTTATATGAAGAATGTATTGAGTTTATTCTCTAGGTGATTGATTTACGTTCTCTAAAAGACACATGTGTCTTGAGAGTCCAAGTTCTTTGCATAAAGCTTAACAATATTTAAAACTTTTAACAAGTTCTTTTAAATCCATGATAATGAACAGAGAAAAGCATTCAGATAATAGGTGATTCTTGTTAAATCTCTTATTGTATAAGAGCTAACTGATGATTTGTATCATATCAGGATTGGAAGTTTTTCTCTACAAAAATATTGAATCCACCCAGCAAAAAGAGAATATCCATCATTATTCATTTACTTTGAACTTAGAACTGTATCATTCTGTACCATGTTCCTAACTTAAAGCATAGATGACCTTGGTTTTCTTGTATTGTGCCTCTTATTCTTGAGAGTGGTTTGGACATTTAAGGCCATCAGACAAGGTATAAAGTTTTTTATAGTCACAAGAAGTAAAAGGTATCTGACTAGAAGAGAATACGTGGAGCACCTGCCTTGCTGGTTGTAATTTTGTTGTCATTTCACGTATTGCGGTGGTACAATTGATGTGACAGGGCTGGGCTTTCGATGTGGTCCCTTAGCTTGTGCTCACTTTCAGTTTCAGTTTCTCTTTGTCATTCATTTTGATTAGGTAAAATTTAGGTGACAGACATGCACACCAATGAAGGCTGTTTGGTATAAGTTTAGTAATGACGTGTTTCAATAATAAAGATGCAAAGTTAATATTTTCCTTTACTGCTTCATGAAAATTGCAATAATTGGTGTCACCTTACATTACAAGATAGAGGGTGGTGTGCTGATGGCACAGTCAGCAGGGGTTCTTTTTTATTAATATTATAATTAAATGATTTTCTGGAAATAGGCCAGAAACAGATGCAAGTTGATCATGCCTTGTCCACTGTTGCTTGGCATCATCACTTGCTTTTTAAAAAAGAAATGACCAGACACCTTGTTTTTACAGGTTGTTATCGATGCCTTCAGATTGATCAATGCTAATATGATGGTCTTAGGACATGAACCAAGACAAACAACCTCAAATCTGGGTCACCTAAACAAGCCATCTATTCAGGTAATGCCTGTATTTGATTATGTGTTAAAACTGTTTTACATTTTAAAAGCCTGTTACAAATGACTAGTTTAAGATCCAATACTTAGTCTTTTAACTTGTTTTGCAATTAATTTTTCTTGTGCTTTAAAAGGAGATTATGAAAATAGTGTTGCAAAAGTTAGATTTGTTGTATATGAGTCTGCTTTTAGTGATGTCTTTAAACTTCACTAACATAGTTTGAGGACATCCTTTTGGGGGGCAGAGTAGATCCTTAATCTTGAGAGTACCTTACAGTTTTGTTGCTTAACAGTGTAGTAGAGCGCTGGTAGGGGTTTAAGTGGCGTGTGTTAGGTATCATAGAACCATTATTGATTGGTTAGTAGACTTTTCTCTAGTACCTAGTGGTAAATTGCTGTATACTTTAAGGGGTTCCCAGAAGCAGTTCCTAAATAGTACTTAAATATTTCTTTTTTTTTTTTTTTTTGCCTAATCCCTTCTTTTAAAACAATTCATATAAGACACAGCTACATACTGCTTTTGATTAGTTTGTATCTTGTTCTTTCTAGTGGTGCCCGCCACATTATTAAAGTTATTTAGACACTTAATATCCTCCTGAGTGATTAGTGTTTTCTTTGTATCATTCACATACCTCATTGTTTTTACACAAATCTATATTGTCTGCAAAAATTATTTTAATATGTTTTTAAATGCACCACAACCTGTGTCTGTATAGTTAATTGCTTCTCTGAAGATTAATTAAAAGGGCACAAATACCATGTTTGGTTAAATAGAACACACAAGACAGAGACATTATAGTAGCTATTGCTGCTCCGCTTCTGAAACCTTGCTGTTAGATGTGGCTGTCTTTGGGGAGTTGTGGTTTTGACAGTTAGCCATGGTTAAGCTTGGCTATACTTTGATAACTTTATACTTTCAGATGCTTAGTTTTCAGCAGTCACTCATTTGAAGCCTTCATCAGAGTGAAAAATATTTTTTCCCAAAGGATTGAGGTGTGTTGCTTTTGAAAAAATTATTTTAGACGTCAGAGAAAACTACAAGTACAATGAGTATGAAATAAGCTACTAGTGTTTTTGACTGAGTACAGACAAGCCCATGCTTGCATGTTACAAGAGAATATATTATTGGACCAGTTTAGCCTGTGATAATGACCTTTCTTGTAAACCCCCATAGTATCATACTGCTTCATTATTTTTTGCAAAAGGTTAAGTAGCATCTCACAGTCTAAGATCATTGTGATTACTGCATAGTGTGTGTCTGCCAGAAGTTTCTACTAATTGCAAGTCAACAGACACCTGTTGCAGATATTGTCTTTTAAATTTAAATGCTGCTGTTTAACCTTAAAAAATTGAGTGTAATTAAATAATTAAAATCTGGTTCTTTTTACATCAATCCAGTTTGTATTTTTTTACCTGATAGTCTGTAATTTAAGGTGAACCTTATGAAGCTTTCCAAACTGAAGTTAAAGGCATCTGTGTATATAACAGCTATAGCATCATTGTTTTTCATTTCTTCTTAGTTTGTTTTGCCTTCCAATTAAAATCTGTAAATATATTTATTTCACAGTTTATATAGCACCCATCAGGAAGATATCTATCTGGGTGCTTTGCAGTTTTGAGACAATTCCAGTACTAAAACACTCAAATGGGATCAAGCCAAAAAGTGGCAGAAAAGGGCACACCTTAATACAGTTTCTTAGTTTTCTAAGACAAGGTAGAAGGAAGGCAACCTAGAAGAACCTGACGTGAATGGTGATATTCATAATAGAATTTTAAGATGTTTTGGCAGAATCTGTACCTCAGGGATCAGAAACCTTTCAGAAAGGCCATGCCTCTTATTTTGGAGGAAAATGAGTTTGTGTTTAGAGGGATCTTGTTCCTAAACCAACTTATAAGTAGTAGGAATAGGAACCTGACAGGTACCATCAGCCCTCATGCTGGTGTTTGCTAATGCTTTTGCTAATGCTTTGCTGATTTTTTTACTATAATACTTAAAGTAGGGGGGGAATATTAGGGTTACATTGTAAACTACTATTTAATATATTGAGGAAAGTTCAAAATACGTTAAGGTAAAGATGATAAAATCACATCTACAAGTTCTCCTCTTTGAAAAAATATATATTAAAAACTGTGCGTATGTATTTATACCACAATGTTAGTATTGATTGCCTTTGGGTAATAGGATTATGGATTTTTTTCTTGTTTTTCCTTCTCTATTTCTTAAACTTTTTGCAGTGAAACATACTGCTTTTAGAAGATGTTACTTTTAAGCACTAATAGCAATGTTGGACAACATTGCTATCTACCAAAACAAGGCTAATAGACAAAGTTTATATGAAGTTTCATGTTTTAAATAAGAGAAGTCATTAATAGAGTCATTTCCGATAGAGAGGGAAAAGTTTAATGCTTGTACTGCATGTAGAGTTTTCTATTAATGTTTGTAACTGTAATACTATTTTGTATGTGGAACATTTGACTAATACTGTCAAATGTATAGAATTGAGAATTAGCAAACATTTATTTTATTAAACCTATTTCACTAAAAATTGTTCAACATTTCAAGTCCTTAAAGGTCAGTTTGTATGAAGATTGGTTGTCAGCTGCATGGAAGTTAACTGACTATTGATGCATAGATGCATTGTACTAGGATTGTGAGCCCCTTAAGTGTAGCTCTGAGTACAACTGCATTGTCTTAACAGAATTAAACTCTTCGAAAAATTATTTTCAGTAGTTAAGCAGTTGTAAATCAGTTGCTCTAGAAAGAACTATTGTGGTCATTTTGTAGATGAGGAGACTTGAGGCCCCACATATTTGTGATTTGCCTAGGTTACGTAGTGAGTTGTAGGAACTGTAAGCAGAGCTTCTTCTTTTATACTAAATTTAGAAGATTCATTCATTTTGGCATAGCTAATATACATATACAGCTCAAAATTCAAAACTTACGAAAAAGTATTTAGTAAAGATTCTCCCTTCTTCATTTGCCATTTGCAGCCTAGTTCTCCACCCAGCAGGGAACAAAGCACATGTTTTGTTTCTTTTCAGTTATTATATTTATATAAAGAAAGCTTCATTTTAAGGTATGATTTAATGGATGATATTTAGCAGCACACTTTCAGTTTATCAATGTAAAATAAGGCAAACAGATTCATCTTTAGATCTAAATAAATATGCCTTAATAGCATGAAACTTTTTTTAACCTATCAAGAACCTATAAATAGGTTATTACACATTTCATAAGCTGTGTGTTTTATAATATGCCTGTTTTCCACACAGTGAGCAAATGAAGTTAGAACTTCTCATTTTTCCTGAGTAGTCTGGACATTGCCAGAAAGTATGATTTCACCATAATGATTATTGGTGTACTTTTCTTCAGATCTATCACACCAACAAAATTATAAAGCTCTACTCTAAAGATTAACTTAAGTATAGAAATAACCTGAAAGTCAAATCAGTGGGATCTCAGAACTCTTTGTCTAGTTACTTCTCTAGATTACTCTTTGTCTAAAATAAATAGCATCTTAGACTGATATTGAGTATCAACCTAGGAAGAACTCCCTTCTTTGAAAGTTTGACAACCTTAGAGCAAAGAAAACAAGGGTCAGCATATCCAGGAAGCAAATAAGCTAAGTCCTGTTAGTAATTCTAAAATGTATTGTCCTTGAAACAGTGCTCTAAAAGGTGATTTTGCTTCCCAGGTCAGCCACTGAAAGCTTACAGCCCACAATATAAACAGTATAGAACAGTACCTTGCTTTTTAATAGTGTTTCTATGAGAAATTGTTACAGGTTTCAAATAATGAATGAATGAGTTTCAAGACAAAATCCTGTTTTACTGAAGAATTGCCTAAATTTTCCTAAATCCATCATATGTTTTGTTAAGTGTAGATTTATAAATTAGGTATTGATATTTTCCAAAATTTCCTGGTTATGAAACTTCTTTGTTGGCCTGATATACTATGGCATTTTCAACTTGGCCCTTTCAAGAGGCTAGTCTCCCCCTTGGTAAAGCTAATCTTATATTTGGTGTATGCTGCCACAATTTGTAATTCAGTGTCAACTAGATTGGTGAATTTGAAAAAATTTATTTTTCACTAAGCTAAATAAAAGAGCCTGCACCTTTTGGGCTTATATGGAATAAGGACTCAACGGGGCCAGTTTAGTTATGATTTGGGATGAATGTAATGGGGGGACGCAGCAGGTGAGTAAGTGAAATTAGAAGATAGTTTGAGGGTATTATTTGGATTAAATTTATATTTGTTTATTATTGTCCCTGCTAATCTTTCATACTATCTGTGTTAATTTTACTACTTTTATCTGAATAACGTAATTGAAAATCAAGTAGGTAGTGCCTTCAAGTTCTAAACTGTGTATTTCAGCAGTACAGTTGATCTCCAAAATGTGGACCTGTCTGCGTGCCCATTTGGCTGATTTCTGTATCTATTGGCTATGCCATCACTAGCTCTGTGTCCACTGTGTAAAATTATACAGTTGGAGCACATAAAAGCATTTGTATGAGAGGTCAGTTGGCACCTGCAATCTAGCCTAAGTTTTACTCTCTAGCCAGGCTGTGTCTGCCACCTTTTTTAAAATTCTTCCACCGAGGGGATGTACTTCTTAATTTGCATAAAGGTGAGTACCATTTAAGGGAAGCACTGATTAGCCCCACTGTTTGATCCTCACAGTAGTACACATATTATGCACTGAAATTTAGCTCACTGTTCTTGATTATTGAAATGAATAAGGATTTAATAGATCCTCTTAGTACTTTAATTGCACATGTCAACTGTTTTATTATAGCAGATGTTAGAAATATGAGAATGGATTTTTGCAGTACATAATCTAAAATGGGTTAGTATTTGGTGGGGTGATTTTGCTAGCAAAATTTAATAAGACTATGCTTTGTTTTCATTCTCATTCTTAGAGTACAAAGAATTGAAGAATTTCTGAGATACATTGTAGCATCATAGTATGGTAGAAAAAACATGGGCTTTGGAGTCAAAAAGTCTTAGGCTCAGATCCCAGTTTTGCCTTTTATTAGGTAGAAACTAGTACAAATTGAGATTAGTGTCTTATTTCCTCATCTGTCAGAAATACACACGGAACCAGCCTACCTTACTAGGTTGCTGTGAAGATTAGAAGACTTATTTTGTAAAGCAGATGCCAGGTGCTCATCAAATGTTTTCTGTCTGCCCCTTTTTTTACATCAACACCTTAAGACTACACTATAAAAATCTAATTATAGTTTATCTTTAGATTCCTGAGAGTTAACCCCAAAGCCCTTTTTGTTTTTGTACTCGAAAATATATCCAATGTACATTTCTGTGCTTTAATGTTTTAGAAGGCTGATTGAGGAGTGCATAGAAACTGTTCCAGACCTCATTTGAACCTCTGCTGCAAAGTTATTTAAGCAATTGTGAAGCATTTCCAGCACATGCAGGGTTATTGTTTCTTAATAAAACCATGCCATTAGCTTAATTTTTTGTTATGGTCTCCCTGTTTTTCTCAGTGATTGAGTACAGTGGAAAGTACTTAGCCAAATGGGCACACAGACAGGTCTATATTTTAGAGATTAACTTTTCTGCTGAAATTCCCAGTTTTGAACTTGAAGGCACTACCTACCTGATTTTCAATTACAGTATTTAGATAAAAGTAGTAAAACTAACACAAGCAGTATGAAAGATTAACAGGGACAATAATAAATATAAATTTAATCCAAATGATATCTATAAGTACTGCTTAGTGAGATTGCCTGCCACTAGACCCAGTACAGAGCAGATTCCATTTTATTAATATAGAGACATGTGCAGACAGTTTATTTTTAATATATTAGAACTGAATTAAAAAGGGAAACTCCAGATTAATGTTGTGGGTGAAGGAATAATTATTTTATTACAGCTTTTTAGGCTTTTCTCTAAGTAAGAAAGAGCCCCTGCCTAGATGATCATAAAATTAGACTTAATAAATTATGTGCTATTTATAAATTATGAATATTTAATTTCTAAGTTAGATTATGATGAAGTCAAACTGTTTCTGACTCTGAGCAAGGCTACTAAAACTGTTGACTTTGTGCTGCTATATCATGCTTTAAAGAATGTGTTCCCCATACCTCAGAACCTCACTCCTAAACTTTAGCTGAAAAAAAAATAGTTTAATATTTATTTTGGATAAAGTCATTTTTAGAAGATATAAAGATATTGTCTGCTGGGTGTGTCAATAGTTTCAAACAGCTGTATTTATTTTATTAGATGAAAAATACTAATTTCTCCTTTTTCTAATCATTTATCTATATAGGCATTAATTCATGGACTAAACAGACATTATTACTCCATTACTATTAACTATCGGAAAAACGAATTGGAACAGAAGGTAAGCTTTAATTTTTTACCTTCGAGGAGGAAAAATGTCTATTTCAACAATATAACTGTTACCTGGTTTATTTGAATTTAAATTGTTGACCTCTTTCATTTATTATAGTCAAAAGTTTTTTCATTCCTCTTGAATTGCAGCATAAAACAAAGGAATATTTTACTGGACAAATTGAAAGACAGTTTTACCTTCTTGGTATGTGCTAAAGCAGAGGAAGAAGTAGGAAATAAACATTCCAGCTTGGTTCTATGATAAATTAGAAAAATCTTTCTTCTAGGTCTGTGATTTTTCTGATTAATTTATCTTCTCCAATAAAATAACCTTTTGTTACTAAATTGCTAAATAGATAACTTTCCAGATTTGAAAGGAATAAATTAGATTGTAATTGTATCGTGTTTTTTAAAAAGTGCCATGGTTACTTAGGATAAACTAAAGGTGAGTCAAAAGGGAAATGCATATTAAGGATTTTCAGATATTCAGAGCTAAATTTGTACACCTTTTTATAGTAGTAAAATTTGATACTTTAAAAACTGCCTAGCGTCTTGATGAATTAACATTTTTTTCAGTTCAGTTCAGTCGCTCAGTCATGTCTGACTCTTTGTGACCTCATGAACCACGCACGCCAGGCCTCCCTGTCTGTCACCAACTCCCTGAGTTTACCCATACTCACGTCCATTGAGTCAGTGATGCCATCCAACCATCTCATCCTCTGTTGTCCCCTTCTCCTGCCCTCAGTCTTTCCCAGCATCAGGGTCTTTTCCAATGAGTCAGCTCTTTGTATCAGGTGGCCAAAATATTGGAGTCTCAGCTTCAACATCAGTCCTTCCAGTGAACATCCAGGACTAATCTCCTTTAGGATGGACTGGTCGGATTTCGTTGCAGTCCAAGGGACTCTCAAGAGTCTTCTCCAACACCACAGTTCAAAAGCATCAATTCTTCGGCGCTCAGCTTTCTTTATAGTCCACCTCTCACATCCATACATGACTCCTGGAAAAACCATATTCTTGACTAGACGGACCCTTGTTGGCAAAGTAATGTCTCTGCTTTTTAATGTGCTGTCTAGGTTGGTGATAACTTTCCTTCCAAGGAGTAAGCGTCTTTTAATTTCATAGCTGCAATCACCATCTGCAGTGATTTTGGAGCCCAAAAAAATAAAGTCAGCCACTGTTTCCCCTGTTTGCCCATCTGTTTGCCATGGAGTGATGGGACCGGATGCCGTGATCTTAGTTTTCTGAATGTTGAGCTTTAAGCCAACTGTTTCATTCTCCTCTTTCACTTTCATCAAGAGGCTCTTCAGTTCTTTACTTTCTGCTATAAGGGTGGTGTCATCTGCATATCTGAGGTTATTGATATTTCTCCCAGCAGTCTTGATTCCAGCTTGTGCTTCTTCCAGCCCAGTGTTTCTCATGATGTACTCTGCATATAAGTTAAATAAGTAGGGTGACAATATACAGCCTTGATGTACTTCTTTATTGATTTGGAACCAGTCTGTTGTTTCATGTCCAGTTCTGACTGTTGCTTCCTGACCTGCATACAGGTTTCTGAAGAGGCAGGTCAGGTGGTCTGATATTCCCATCTCCTTCAGAATTTTCCACATTTTGTTGTGATCCTCACAGTCAAAAGCTTTGGCATAGTCAATAAAGCAGATATAGATGTTTTTCTGGAACTCTCTTGCTTTTTCTGTGATCCAGTGGATGTTGGCAATTTGACCTCTGGTTCCTCTGCCTTTTCTAAAACCAGCTTGAACATCTGGAAGTTCACAGTTCACGTACTGCTGAAGCCTGGCTTGAAGAATTTTGAGCATTACTTTACTAGCATGTGAGATGAGTGCAAATGTGCGGTAGTTTGAGAATTTTTTAGAATTGCCTTTCTTGGGGATTGGAATGAAAACTGACCTTTTCGAGTCCTGTGGCCACTGCTGAGTTTTCCAAATTTGCTGATATTTTGAGTGCAGCTCTTTCACAGCATCATCTTTCAGGATTTGAAGTAGCTCATCTAGAATTCCATCACCTACACTAGCTTTGTTTGTAGTGATGCTTCCTAAGGCCCACTTGACTTCACATTCCAGGATGTGTGGCTCTAGGTGAGTGATCACACCAACATGATTATCTGGGTCCTGAAGATCTTTTTTGTACAGTTCTGTGTATTCTTGCCACCTCTTTTTACTATCTTCTGCTTCTGTTAGGTCCCTACCATTTCTGTCCTTTATTGAGCCCATCTTTGCATGAAATGTTCCCTTGGTATCTCTAATTTTCTTGAAGAGACCTCTAGTCTTTCCCATTCTATTGTCTTCCTCTATTTCTTTGCATTGACTGCTGAGGAAGGCTTTCTTATCTCTCCTTGCTGTTTTTCGGAACTCTGCATTCAGATGCTTATGTCTTTCCTTTTCTCCTTTGCTTTTCACTTCCCTTCTTTTCACAGCTATTTGTAAGGCCTCCTCAGGCAGCCATTTTGCCTTTTTGCATTTTTTTTCATGAAGATGGTCTTGATTCCTGTCTCCTGTACAATGTCATAAACCTCCGTCCATAATTCATCAGGCACTCTTATCAGATCTAGTCCCTTAAATCTATTTCTCACTTCCACTGTATAGTCATAAGGGATTTGATTTAGGTCATACCTGAATGGTCTAGTGGTTTTCCCTACTTTCTTCAATTTAAGTCTGAGTTTGGCAATAAGAAGTTCATGATCTGAGCCACAGTTGGCTCTCGGTCTTGTTTTTGCTGACTGTATAGAGCTTCTCCATCTTTGGCTGCAAAGAATATAATCAGTCTGATTTCGGTGTTGGCCATATGGTGATGTCCATGTGTTGTTGGAAGAGTGTGTTTACTATGACCAGTGCATTCTCTTGGCAAAACTCCTATTAGCCTTTGCCCTGCTTCATTCTGTACTCCAAGGCCAAATTTGCCTGTTACTCCAGGTGTTTCTTGACTTCCTACTTTTGCATTCCAGTCCCCTATAATGAAAAGACATCTTTTTTGGGTAAAATTTGATACTTTAAAAATTACCTAGCATCTTGATGAATTAGCATTCTTTAGCTTCTACTATTTTAGGGTTATCTTGAGTATAGTTTTTCTGTCAAACTAGTTAGAAATATTCTGCCTATTGCTTTTTGAAATTATAATCTGAACTGCTTTTTTCTTTCTTTATTACTGCAATTGGTCATCCTCCAAATAATCTTCTTGCGTTTCTGAGAAAGACTTAAAAAGTCTTAAAGAGCAGGAGTACTGTTGACAGCCAGTAAGCTTTGAATACTACATGCACTCTGAAGTTCAAATGTGATAAGTAATCAGTAGTAAACAAGATCTTCTTACTAGTTGAAAGTGTTCCCCACAGAGTTACCTTAGAAGGGATTCTAGTGCATATGGTGTATTGGAGGTAGAATAGGAGGGCTCCCTATAATACTCCCCTTTTCAACCAGATCACTTCCATTTTCTGGCTCATTTATATTTTGTGGGGAGCATGTGCCATGTAAGATTTTCTGAAGTTTGATAATCTATTGATTTAAAACTTCTAAGCCACCAATAAACTCCCTCAAAGGTCCATGGTTTTGAGCGAGGTGCTGCAGGGGGCCAGTTCTTCCTTGACTTGAGGGGGGACACAGAACCATAAAACTCTCTTCCGTCTGTTTGCTCTTGTTCCAAAGTTCATAGCAGCTTTGGTAGATTTAGTTGATAACTGAAAGTACATTTTCAACACTTAATTTTATGTAGACTAGGTATAGGCTGTGGGTAAAAAGGGTAACACTCAGACAAAAACTGAAAAATTCATTCAGATACGTAAATATACTATAAATATGTTGTCAGTCTTATATCTGACACCTAACTGTTTGGAAATATCCATCTAATTACATCAGACTTTTCTTTTTCTTTTTCTTCTTTCTTTTATAGTATCCTATAAACTTAGCTACCATCCTTGGTATAAAAAAGCATACATATAAATAATTAATTAATAGTATATTTATGTTCCTAGCATAGCTCAGTTCAGGTGCTTTCTTAATGTCAAAAGCCCTGCCTTTATTCTTATCCCACCAACTTGTATACTTAACTCCAAGTCTTACCTGAGGGGCCCAGTGCAATCCTTGTCCAGGCAGGGTGGGATTATTATTCTGCTCTGTGGGAACTTTTTTGGTTTGCTTTTGAAGTGTCCAAAAATCCTGTTCTCAACACTTAATTATAGGTAGCTTTATAACATTGGTATATATAGCTTTATAGCATTCCCTGGGTTGGGAAGATCCCCTGGAGAAGGAAACGGCACCTCACTCCAGTATTCTTGCTTGGAGAATTCCATGGACAGAGGAACCTGGTGGGCTACAGTCCATGGGGTCGCAAAGAACTGGACACAACTGAGCAAATAACACTTTCACTGTCTTATAACATTGGTAGTTGCAACTGCACCAAAATTTCCTGAAGATGTATTTTGTAAAACATTATCCATGGCAAAGATGGGAAGCAGTCAAAGAAATTGGGGCTATATATGCAGGAGTTTTCCAGGTTTTTTCAAACTACTCTTACCTCCATGAGCCCTAGGGGAGGAATCAGGGAATTTGGAGCTTTTGTGTCTTGAAAATGCTCATAGATGATTTTGACTTGTAGCTTATTCTTCAGCATAAGGAAAACTTTGTACTGATTTTAGCTGCAAACAGTTCTTTTAAACTAAACTCACTTCTGACTGTGTCTTTAGAGCCTCGTGCCTTGTGGATCTCACTTAAAGTATACTGCCTCTAGGACCTACTGTATAGCACAGGGAACTCTGTTTAATGGTGTATGACAGCCTGGATGGAAGGGGACTTTGGGGGAGAATGGTTATATGTGTACGTATGGCTGAGTCCATTTGCTGTTCCCCTGAAGCTATCACAACATTGTTAATCGGTATACCCCAATACAAAATAAAAAGTTAAAAAAGTGTACTGGTTCTCATAGCAAGAAGACAACAATCATTTTGTAGCTACCTTTTTTTTGATATTGTGTAATTTTATCAATCATTTAGAAAACTCTTCTTATTCACTGGTACTCCTCAACTGAAGGACATTATTTATAGAACAGGACTTTAAGAAAAACTGTCTTAGGATTTTGAACTTGAAAATTGACGAATTTCCAAGAATTCAGAACTAGGAGTCCAATTTGAGAAATAATGAGCTAAGGTGTTTAGTTCCGTGATCACTAATAGGATCTGATCCTAGTTTGCTGATGTGATTGCAAACTGGATGAATCTGATTTTCTTTGCAGTTTTATGACTTTTCATTCTGATATAAAATTTAAATTTAAAAAATTATAGACAAACTTTAGGAATTTGAAGGAAACTTGGAGATTATCTGCAAGCCTTCAATTCATAGGTAATGTAAACAAAGGCTCAGAAAGACTGACACAAAGTCATTCAGTAAATGGGAGCATTTACCTCCTTATCTTGGTATTTGAAAGCTGGACTATATGAACTGTTAGAAATCCTTTGCATAACATAGTAGTTTCATTCATTCAGTATATACTTATTGAGTATTTGCTATGATTAGATTATGATCTAGATTCTAGAATCTAGACCATGGTGATTTTGAATTAAAGTCCTTGCCCTGTTGATTTCTCTTTAGTGAGAGAGAAATTCAGTAAAGAAGAAAACACAAGTTTCAGCTGTTTATAGTGTTATAAAAATAATAAAACAGGTTAAGGAAAGAAAGATGTTTAGGATAGTGTGGAGTGGCTTTTTTATAAGGTGGCGAGAAGTGGCATCTGTCTCTAAGGAAGTGAGAAAGGTAAGCTATACAAAGATAAAGAAAATAGCCTTTGAGGCAGAGGGACAGCAAATGCAAAGGCCATGGTGTTGGAGTATTCCTTAGAGTTTCATTAATATAAATTTAGGAGGATGCTCTTTAGGGTTTATTTAAATTAATAAAATTAAATTTAATTCATTAATTCCAAAAGTTGTTTGTGAAGTTGTTTTTCAAGACATAAAGGAAATTTCTTCAGTACAGAAGCATAATTAATTTTTCTTTATGTTTTTTAGATGTTGTTAAATTTGCATAAGAAGAGTTGGATGGAAGGTTTGACACTTCAGGACTACAGTGAACACTGTAAGCATAATGAATCAGTGGTAAAAGAGATGTTGGAATTAGCAAAAAATTACAATAAGGTAAAAACTTATTTTCAACGTTTATTTCTTATAACCTTTGGAATATGTGCGATTAGATATCAGGCATTATATAAACAGTTAAAAGCAGAGTGGCCTATTTCATAGATCAAATAGTAAATATTTTAGGCTTAACAGGCCATCCTGGCCATACAGTCTGTTGCAACTTCTCAACTCTGCCGTTAGTGTAAAAGTAGCCACAGACAATGAATACATAAAGGAATGAGTGAAGCTGTGTCTTAGTAAAACATTTACTAAAACTGGCATCCAGCGAGCTTTGACCCATGGCCTGTAGTTAGCCAGCCCCTGTTGTAGACCATGTAAAATGGTCTTTTACATTTGAAATCTCTTCATTATTCAGAGGACTTTTTCTTGGAAGGGAAGGAGGAACAAGGAGATATGAGCAACAATAGCATTTAGTGCTTCATAACATGTAACTTATGAAATTTCCTGTTTTTCATTAAATAAGTATTTATTGAAAACCTGTTAGATGCCAGGCTCTGGGGATATAGTAAGAAATAAGACCTATACTCGTGGAATTTATTTTCTGGCCGAGGAAACAAAGTCAACAAATAAACACAACACAATACATTATAATTAATGCTTGAAGACAGTAAACACAATGATATAAAGAAGAAGAGCAAAGGGAGACCACTTCATATGAGGATGTAAGAAAAGTTATAATTTTGAGAATCTCCTAAAAATGTTTATTGTACGCTAAAGTATATATGGGGCTTTCCAGGTGGCTCAGTGGTAAAGAATCCACCTGCCAATGCAGGAGACACAGGAGGCTTGGATTCGATTCCTGGTTCGGGAAGGTCCCCTGGAATAGGAAATGGCAAACCACTCTGGCATTCTGGCCTGGGAAATCTCATGGTCAGAGGAGCCTGGCAGGGTACAGTCCACAGGGTTGCAAATAGTCAGATGTGACCGAAAGGCTGAGCACATGCACACACATAGATATACGTGGTCGTGATAACATTTTATTTACAGATTTCTGTTCTTCACAATTTGAAGCTAGAAGTCCACAATCAAGGTATTGGCAGGGCCTTGCTCCCTGTGTAGCCTCTAGCAGGGGAGGATCCTTCTTTTTCTTTTTCAGCTTCTGTTGGTCCCCAGGTATTCTTTGGCTTGTGACAGCATAATTCTAAACTATAACCAAGGTTATGATTTCAGTGTATCCTTTTAGGGCAGACATGATTCAACTCATAACATATGTTTTTCTACTTTTTTGACCAAAATCCATATAAAGAATAGATTTTACATTTCGACCCAATACATGGAATGTATTTGTATGTATGTGTATATAAGTGAAGTGAAAGTCACTCAGTTGTGTCCAACTCTTTGCAAGCCCATGGGGCTATATAGTCCATGGAATTCTCCAGGCCAGAATACTGGAGTGGGTAGCCTTTCCCTTCTCCGGAGATTACAACAGAAGTTCTGTGAAACAGTATTTACCTTTTTACAAGCGATACATTCTGTTTTCTTTCTCATTTGACTTGATTTCATTCTGTTTCAGTTATATATATATACATATTATGTACATGGACAAATAGCTTGTGATCTATTAAAGGATCAAAAACCTGCGATTCATAAAACATATATACACACTGTATGTACAGTGTTATGGTTACAAATATTTGTCGAATATCTTCTGTACAATTTTCAGTGAAAACAGGGATTCTTCCTTCATCTTTAGGAAAATAAGAGCAGTAAGAAAAGTTCAGTACCAGAGTACTAGACCATAACTGGTGTGTTTGATAACACCTTAGTATTCAAATTGTCCACAGACCAGCTGCATCAGTTTCACTTGTAATCTTGTTAGAAATGCAGGCTCTTTGACCTACTAAATCAGAATCTACATTTTAACAAGATTTCCAAGAAATTTGTATACCCATTCAAGTTAGAGCCTAGAGAACACTGCCATAGAGAAGTCCAGGTGAAGTCCTGTAGTTCAAAGCTTTTTGTTTTCAGCTGGGAGAGACCCAGGATGCTTTTTTAGAGAATAATAACATTTGAACTAGACCTTAAAGCATGAGTAAGATTTGGATATACAAAGAAATGTTACCCCAAGCCAGCTCCATATCATGAGCAAAGACTCGGAGACAAAATAGGCAAGGGCATCTTTAGGAAACTGTGTTTGGGTAGAGTACATAAGAAGCGTGTACATGAAAGGCTAAATAGTGGGCTAATAGATATTTTTAAATTACTGAAGTCAAATAACAGTCTGGAAAATCATGATAGTTTACTTTTTGATTAGGGGCATGATATACCCAGAACCTGACTTTAGAAACATAATTTAACAAGAGTATACAAGAAAGTATTGTTAAGAGGAGATTTGAAATGGAGATTCTTCTTAGGAGGAACTTCCTGTTACCCAAACAAAAGGTAGTAAGTGTCTGTGTGGATTATAGCAGTGGTAGTAGGAACAGAGGTATCAACAGATTAGTAAAATAAAATGTGCCAGTTGGATAGATAAAGTGAAAGAAGAAGGAATAAAAAATGAATTAAAGTTCTCCTGCCTAGGTAACTTGAAGTATGTTGATACTGTTAACATTTCCAATTTAAGTAGAAGTAGAAAGATTGAGGGGCTTCCCTAGTAAAGAATCCACCTGCAGTGCAGGGGATGCGGGTTTGATCCCTGGGTCAGGAAGATCCCCTGGAGGAGAGCATGGCAACCCACTCCAGTATTCTTGCCTGGCGAATCTCATGGACAGAGGAACCTGGTGGGCTGTCGTTCATAGGGTTGCACAGAGTCAGACACCACTGAAGCGACTTAACACACATGCACACATGCATGCACTGAAAGACTGAGAAAAGATATGAAGAGATTAAACAAGTAAGGAATTCCCTGGCAGTCCATTAGTTAGGATTCCACGCTTTAACTGCTGAGAGTATAGGTTTAATCCTTGGTCAGGGAACTAAGATCCCACAAGCCACAGTGTGGCAAAAAAGAAAAATAGAATTTAAATAAACAGTTCACTAAGTGGGACTAAAAATTGACAGCAAGGGCTAGAGCTTTTGGAGACAGTTAAAATTGATATTAGTTGTCACAGAGAAAAAAATAATAATTTTTTTTCTTTTTAATTTAAAAACATCTTAGAAAACATTAGCCAAGAGATAGTGTGTAAGATTTGCCGAGAGTTAACAACCAGTCTTTTGAGAGAATGGAGAGCTTTGGAAAAAATGTTGATGAGCCTATACAAGCTAAAATCTAGCAGAATTAGGGTTGGCTTTGAAGAACATTGCCCTGATTTATATGTAGTGTTCCAGCTAGAAATCTCCGTTGGTTCTAGATTATAGGGAAATATATATATATATAATGTTTCTAGTATATGTTATAGAGATTAAAGAGAAGAAATTGTTTATCATATTTAAAACAGTTAACTTTTATACATTAAAAAGTTAAGACAAGTTATTATTCAGCAGACTGTAGGAATGGTTTTCATTTCTCTGTAACATTACAAGTTTAAGTAAATTCTTATTGGTATCACTGCCAGGAAATAACCTATTTATGGTTACTGCTGCCCATCCACAGAAGTTTTTCCTATTTTACAGTTTTAAAAAATCTCTGTAGTACTCAAAAACTTGTAAGGTTTGGTTATAAAATGAAAACAATGTGTAAGCTGTGATATGAAGGAGTCCAAATTTGGGGCTGTAATTCCCTCTGTGATTGAAAGAGAATGTGGTGGAGTTTTTAGTAACACTTAAAATATAAAAAGAAAGGCCCATACAACTAGTTCCTCATAGTATTCTTTTTAATTGGTTGGCGTTTTAAACTAAGGTAATTACAGTTAGGTGCCAGTTAGCTCTGAAAGTGAAAGAAGGTTAGAAAATAATTAAATGCTTTTGTATCAAGTTTTTGATTTCAGGTCTGAAGTCCACGCTGAGATTCTGCTTGACTGTTAATCGTTGATTTCTCTATAATTACTGAACTTCAACACCCACAACTCTTTTATTCCAAATCTACTAGTTTATTCATGCCAAGATGCATCAGTATTCTAAAACTGATAATATTTGATTAGATATTTGTAAATAAGTATGCCAGTGAACAAAGGAATTGTAGAAGGCATTTTTAAGAATAGCATAAAAACATAAAGATTTACTTTGTTTTCAAACATGTGGCCCTATAAATTCAGAGATTTGATAGTTTACATTTTGGGTAGAAAAACTTACTGCTTAGTAACCAGAAAGAAAGTTTGGATGCAACTTTTATGTAACATAAAATAAGTAATTATATGATTACATTGGTTTACTGAAGTAGCTGTATTAAATAAGAAGGTCTTGTTTTGTGCTAGTGCAATAAGATAAGAAAAACAAAATAATATATAAATATTAGGAAATCAGGCCAGATTATCATTATTTAAGTGATAAGATATGTTTGCAATCAAACATAGAAATATATGAAACTGAGCTAGAATGCTATTAGAACTATTATGATTGAGAATTATATAGGTTACAGTAACCATGCAGTTACATATGGTGAAATGAGTTATAAAAGGCAAATCAATTCACAGTAGCATCCAAAATTACAAAATACTTAGGAATAACTACCATAAAAATGTAAATGTATAAATATATATGACTTTTTTGAAATACAGTAAAAGAAAAATTGTGAATAAATTCCCTTGTTTCTGTAAGGGAAGACTCAATATTTGGAAAGATGTGGTCAAGCTTCCCAAAGGTTACTTTAGTGTTAGTAAAAATGTCAGTGGGCTTTTAAAATTTTGATAACTTAGCAATAAAGTTTGTCTCCAATAAAAATGACATTTATTGAATGCCTGTTATGAGTCCGGCCAGCAGAAAGTATTTATACCTATAAGACAGGAAAGGCTAGTATCCAAAGAGTACATAATAGACACATAAATCCTACAAAATAATTTTTAAAAGCAATAATAAATTGACAACAAAACTGGAAAACTCACTGAAGACAAGTGGCATATAAACATGAAAAAAAGTTCAACTTTATTATAAAGTATTCAAAGAAAAAGTTAATAATATAA